CAGTTTCCCTTGCCAATCTTCATTCCACCAAATTCTTCATCATCCTAATCACCCGGGGCAGGTACAATAGGCCAATCAGTGGCCGCTGTGCTAAGTGGACCCAACTGGACTCCACCTCCTACTATGAAAATTAAGAAAAAAAAAGTAGATAAGAATTTAGGGGTTGTCATGGACATGCTATTCCAGAATTAAATCTAAAAGGCCAAGGAAAACAAAGAAAATTTTCATTCAGGGTATGCAGTTACCTGTAAAACATCTGAAAAAAAATCTTGAAAGTTCATGCTCTGAGAGGCTAATGAGGTTAGTCCACTTCTCACCGTAAAATAAAGTCACAATTAGCAAGTGCTCTCATATATACATAAAAGAGGTAAAGCTATCCCTGTAACAGGCTGAAGAGACACACGTGGTTGTGAAACTGACTCACAGATTGTGGTGAGGTTGTCAGCCTTACAGACCAGCTGCCCTTTACCACCACGAAGATTTCTGGTACTCATATTTGCTAGAGGCTGAATCAACCCCAGGGCCATAGTACGGCTGGAAGGATTATGTAAATTGAAAAATCCGATGACTTCCTCAGGAAATAAACCTGCAACCTTCCAGCTTGTAGCACAGTGCCTCAACTAACTATACTACCGCATACCCCTAGTAAGTGTTCTCATTCTACAAACAAGTACCAAACAGAAATTTCCTACTTTTCTACTGCATAGATTTCTAGCACTACAAGTCTTTTGCTGTTGTTGTTGTTATGTTTCAATAAAGTGAGTTCAATCTCACATTAAAATGCCATTTATCTCACCAATTAATGTGACTATTGAGCTGGTCACATGACATACAGAATCCTTGTCTGGAACAGAAATGAACTTATTATTGTTACTGTGATTAGTATTAGTCATTGTTGTTATCATATTATTTGCTTTCCTGGGAGAATTCATTAGGAAAATATGAATTCTATATTCTGTTCACATTAAATTTGTCATATGTTACCTCAAACACAGGCTAAACTTCAAAGGTCTGTACTGTCATTATGTTTGTTAAGTCTTTACTCATAAACAACATTAAATATATTATTTATAGGGGTATATATACTTAATTTTAATATATTTCATACCACCAGCTTCAATTGTCCATTAGTTATACCTCTTACACAAGATTCAAATATCTGCATGGCCACCATATTGTTGTTCCACAAAATAATTATATTAAAGTTGCAAATTGTCACATCAAGGAGTGACTATAGACAAGGTTTTGATTGGTAACTGGATTTACTAAACACTTACAGACCGTAGCTACAAGTAACTACATTGTATAGTGATAATGCTAATTCACACACACTCTGCAATTCACTACAGCATCCACTAAGTTTTCACAGTTGCTGTGACTTCACTGGTCATCTGGTGATGGCTTTCAATGACGCAACTTCCTCAGTTTCTGCGTTCATGTCTTTCCTGACCAGTGTCTCACAACTATGTCAGCATTGCTACACAATGGCTTATAATGGGGTTCCTCTGCATCACACACACCCCCCAGGGGTGACTGTCTCACAACAGCCTCAGAATTTGACTGGTCTGTCTGCCTGCAGACTCTCTCTAGACTGCCAACTGACTAACTTGCTCAAGTTAAAGTCAAAGTCACATTGTGACTGACGATCAGTCAGTAAGTAAGGCTTCGTGACAAGACCCGTCTGGGGCTCATGACCAGATATTTATTACTGTTTGACAGTTACGGTTTTGCTTAGCAGCCTCCATAGTCTAGAGGTAATGTTCCCACCACATTACTCATAGTACACGGGTTCAAATACCCGGCGGAGGTCGTCGAATTTTTAAGGGCGGAAAAATTCAGGGAACAAGTCCTCCGGGAGGGACTTTAAGCCGTGAGTCCCATGTCGTAGCTTTACGGCAAGTAAAAGAACCTCATATCTCCAAAGGAGGTGACTGAGCCAAATTACGGACGTGTCCCGCCCAACAGCAGTCTCTAATACCTCTGGTAGATGGGGGAAGCATTATAGATACCTCTCAGCTAGTAGAGCCGGTCTCGCTGGCTGGGCGGGACTGATGGTAAGCACCAGTACCGGTAGGATATAGAGACTGGTAGAATATCATAGAGGGAAGCACAATGGACCAATACAGGTCTAAGTGCATGGGGAAACCCACCCTCTCCAATAACTAACTAACTAACTATTTACGGTTTTGCTTTTTGTGGGGCGCCCTCTCTGACGAGCGGATGGGTCTGTCTTTTGTATATGCTGCTGGCCCTTGCCAGCACAGTCTTTCCTGGGTCTGAGTCCCTTGGTAACCGGCACATTTTACTGTCTCAGATTTGAGACTTCCTTCCCTGCCTCTGTATTAACTAGCTTGTGTTTTGATTCTCCATATATACCCACTGCACAGACCCACCAGAAAACATCATTCCTCTGTTGATATGGGTGATGTATCATGTGCTCCACGGTAGTGGCACTGTCCGCCTGCTGCAGGACTGCGTGGCAACACTTCTTTCTGCAGTTTTCCTATTGTTGTACATCACCACTGTTGAGGGACGATCTGTTTACTGAGCTACTGCCTTGCAATGGCCTCCCTGCTGATTAAACTATTTTGGATTTCAGTGGACATGTCACAATATTTTTCAAGTATGTATCATTAGGATCATTCCCAAGTCACAAGTTCATGTGTTCATTATGCTGTCATTACAACAGCATGTAATTAAAAAACTATAAGGTTGGCTCACACTCTGACTGTATAAGGTCAAATCTTTCTATTCCCTACGAGAAGAGGGTGGGCTAAGAAATATGATTAGCAAACTTCTTGATTTATGGGGGACAAAGTTGCTCAAGTCCGCGACATTCTTTAAGTCATACATGTCCCATGGGTAGTGCAAAATGAGCAACAAATTTGGCTAAGCTTCCCCACCAAAAAGTGAAAACTTCTTCAAGATGCACCAAAGCAAGAACTAGAGTGCTCTCTATTGGGAAGCCAGAAGCAAAATGGGTTAAATGATCCCAAATGAAGCCATTGGAAACCAACCAACCAACTTCTTCATTTACTTGCTCTGAGGCCAGTTAGCACTTGGGACAGGTATATCTTAGTCTGAAACAGCTGAAAATATCTGATCAAGTTTCTGTAAACAACAACAACGATATTCAACCTTACTTCGCCCAATTATATCACCTGCAGAATTAGATCACAGGCTTCAATTGCCTTCTTCAAGTCTGGAAACGAAGTCCACACATCCTCTTCACCCTTACTAATGACAGTGAGGAATCTTAATGGCCAAAAGGTCAGGATGCGTAATGAGTATGAATACATTCAAGATAACAGTTCCATGACAAACAAACAATATGGTTGCTAAATAAAAAATGTTTAATTGTATTCTCATTAGATATTACAATTCAGGTTTAACAACACTGTTAGGCACTTAACTTAATGATCGTACAGATCGTAAGTATAAGCTTCAAACAAGCAATATAGCTATGTTCATCTCATAGACTTTCCTCATTGAAAAATATGGCAGTATTACAATTTTATATTTGCTAAGCTACCATACTGATCACACCTAGTATCTGTATGTATCAAGTGCATCAGTGACCTTATGCTAGAAAATGATATACATAAAACGTTCAAGATATTTAGAAAAAATGACACAACATGTAAATAAAATAATAATTAAAACATTCCAGTTGTACCTGACAGTAAATATACAAACACACCAAAGCATCTGAATTGGCTGTTGCCTTATAATGTCTGAAATAAAACTTACTCCTCCTCACACATTCCAAGATATCAGTTTCTGAATATTTAGGATTTAAGGTTCTCACAGAGATGGTTATGAAGATTTCTATCTTCTGGGACATAATGCTGTGTAATCCAGATGGGATAAGTTAAGATGTGTATTTAATTGATAACCGGATCTAGTTAACCTAAGTGATCACAATCTTGAAATGAATTACATAATAATGATTTGAACAGCCACAGACCTGTAAAAATGAGTGTCATTTCCATTTCAGAGTGTGTTGTGAAAGGAAGAAGAATGCCCTGTTTGTGCATGTGATTTATATCAAGAACTCATAATGTGACACAGAACAAATTGAAGGTCATTCAAGCAAACGTAAACTCACTGACACTTAAGTGATTCCTCATACAGATTGTGCAAAATAAAATGGCTTTTCTTTTCCAAAGAAGTTTTCATTTGATATCGTTTTTTAAAAATATTCTTAATGTTTCACTTGTGACCTTCCAATGTCCCACAAAACAGGCAATGAGTAGAGCACAGAAAACAAAATATGTAATTGTGTACCTTCATTGCAGATTTCATGAACATTTTATCCCAAGCATTCAAAGAGCCACAGATGAAAGCACTGTTTGTTTCAAAGGTCAAATCATCTTCAAGATATGGAACAAACAAACCAACAAAGTGGGGGTCATGGGTGTACTGGGGATAGTAAGACTGGGTATATTTGAAATATTATGTCATACTTCGAAAGTGCAATGACAGAAAGATTCAACAGGCCAGCTTTTCCACTTACATCCAAGATTGTGCTCCATTTATATGATTAGTTATCACAGTCAGTTGACGGAGAGAGTTTTAATTTATGTAAATACTGCTTATATGCCATCAGCAAATTGGCTGCAGAACAGCTTGTAAAAATAATTCACCTAACAGGAACCAGTAAGAGAAGCAGGAAAGGCCTACAAACACAATTCAAACGGCTGAAAATGAAGAAGGGTAAAGTCCAGGTGTTTTGTAAAAATGATAGCATGATGGCCTTACTGGGCCATGCGGTGGTTTTGTTGGCTGAGGCACTATGCTACAAGCTGGAAGGTCATGGGTTCGATTCCTGATGAGGTCATTGGATGTTTCAATTGACCAAATCCTTCCAGCCGCACTAGGGCCCTGGGGTCGACTCAGCCTCTAACATAAATGAGTATCAGGAATCTTCCTGGGGGGGTAAAGGGCGGCCATCCCATAAGGCTAACAACCTCACTACCATGTGTGACATTACTATCTAGAAAATGTGGCAACCTTGATGTCTCACAATCCTATGGATCTCCATGACCTGTTACAGGGAAAGCTTTACCTTTATGACAGCCTTACTGTGAAAAGATAAAAGTGGTGTCCCGATGTTTAGCACTACCACAACGTGGATGTACAAAGAGAAGAAAGGATTGACAGAAGACAGATGAGTGAAGCAGTGATTGTTGAAGACATCAACTCTGAATTCTTTTGTTTCAATGAACTGTAACAAAAGGTAAGAAAATTTGAAGTCCCTGATTCATCTCAAGTTCAGGAGGAATTTAATGGGACCGTTGGTTGGTGATGTTAGGAACTAAAGTGCCAGAAAGTGAGGGTCACCTTCTTGTAGTGATGATAAGAAATGCCTGAACCATGAGCAACATTACGTATATCAATTTGATCTGGGGGGGAAAAGAAAGACTGTGCTGTGTGTTGTGATAGGAAAGTGCACTGAACTGTGAGTCCTGCAGCTGCAAACCTGGACTTCATCCAGGGGAATGCTTCAAGAAATATCACACACCAAACGTGCATAGATACGATGAATGTTGGTAACACTTGCAGAAAAGTATGAAATAAGTTTCAAAATTTACTACCATCTTACAAGTTAGTAAGTAAACATTAGCAAAACATGTATAAATGTGTAGCTGTTTTTTCTGTACTTTTTGCCTTAAAATAATTTTTACTTGTACAGATGGACTGGAAAGGGTTAGGACAATCCATCTGGAATGTGTGATGTGAGAACATTAGCAGCAAATCCTATGACATTCTGCTAATTTTCTTGTGCCTCACCTGACTTAAGGAGGGGCTCAATTTACCTGATCTAAGACAAAGCCATGTAGTAGGGGCTTCAAATGACTGTGATGGGGATCCAACAAACTCCATTTCATAAGGAATATGCCATGATCCATCTCTGCTCACCTGAGCCATTGGATTGAATGTCAAAGGAAACTGAAATAAGAGGAAGTCCTGAAGGTTAGAAAACACAAAAATTCACTCACTGTTTTGGAATATGCTGATATAAAATATATTCTTTTCATATGATATTACTCTTTGAACATTGCATTCAAATGAACTGTATGCTGCAAATGATAATAGTGTGGTAGGTCAGTGCATGACCACTTGGAAATGGATGAAGGTTCTTCTATGTGTGCAATGACAACTCCATCTACGTAAACAGAATTCCATTATTAATTATTGTTAAAAAAAAGTAACACAGACTCTCTATATTTTACAAGAACTGCTGGAAGTGACTCCCACCTCCAAGCATGCTTTAGAATGTACAAACAAGTTCTGCAACACATTCTGATGTTCTGGAGCAAACAATTCAGTGTGAACTTCCAGAACACTACACCACTACTTTAAGACGGTGATATGGAAAATTTTGTAGCAGCCAGGTGCAAAAAGAGAATTCTTGCTGCATAATCTGATTGCTTAAGTTTATACACATGCTGTTTTGTACAAAGAAATATTTAGTCTTTGGCTGTGAACAAAGATAACAGAAAAAATTTGGTATCTTCTACTAAGTGTCTTAACAATTTGTGAGTACTTATCTCTTGCCATATCTGATAACTTTACACACTTACTTCTGTCTTTAATGCAACTTTGTTTACAATATCTCCTTAATTTAAAATAATATTAAAATTACAATTAAACTGCTGCATGTTTCGGCCTTACTTGGCCATCCTCAGGGAACTGTTCATTTGTTGATATTAGTTCTTAGGTTAAAACATTTCAGTGTTATTGCATTTTCGTCATCCACATCAAAAGACATTTGCTTCAGAACATCACTCTTTTCTTGTTTCTTGCTATCTTCTTCTTTCAGAATCATGCTTTTTATGTTGTTTTGATTAACCCTATGAATATAAGTGTTGTGTTACTGTTATTTTTATGTGCGCCATTAGTATTGTCACGTGTTTGGAATCTGGAAGGGTTACTTCCATGGTAATGCAAAAACAGTGAGCCGTTACATAGAGAATGCCAAAACAACGAATGCGTTTCCCTGGAGATGGACAACAGAAGGTTCGTTGTGCAACAACAGAAATGGAACCGTGAGAAATGGTGTCTGGTATCCGGTCTACATAAGGCCTACAGAAGGAAGACAGTTGAGATCCAGCCATGGGCAGAGACAGTTGGAAGATAGCCGCCGCAGAATGCAATTGAAGTGATACTAATTGTACTTGAGAGTGCAAGAATAAATGTGTTCACTAAATCTGAGACCCACGGGAAGTTATTTGTTGCGTGACATACCCAACACGTGACAGTATGTATGTTCCCATGCAGTTGCTCTAACAGAGTTTGTGTCATTTTATTTATTTATTGGGACACTGAATCTACAATCCACATGAGTTTGTTGGAAATCCTTTTTGTGGGTATTTATGAATGAGGCTGTGAATGCCCTTTCTGTAACTTTTCATTTCATGACAGATTCAACTATAAGAACTTTGTGTTGCATCATATGTCTCATTCCAGGAGCAAAAGATAAAATGAACTGAGCAAGAAGAACCTTCACATGCTAATGCATGAATCACACTACGTTGCTGAATGTGAATGAGTGAGCCGCCATCGTATCTATCACGGACAAAATATATTGCAGTTCTGCTCACAGTGCAACTATGCCTATTTCTTGTTGGGTTATTTTATAACTCTCAGTATCTAGACTATATACTGAAAAATGATGTGATGATTCATGAGCTGGAAAGGTTTGAGAAGGAAGTGGTCATGTCCTAATTGAGGAATCATCCTGCAGAAACTGAGGAGAGAAATAATAAACTTCAGTCATGATAGCCATGTTCAGTAGTCAACAAATACAAATACTGTCAAAATATACATATCAGATGTTATGCTTAGAATGTAATCAATTTTGGTTCTGAAGGCAAAATCTCTTCCAATTACCTTGAGGTGCACTTTCCCAGCTTGAGTCACATATTTAAGCTGACACTGATGCTGTAGCTGCCATAGTTTAAATGTTGATCTAAGACTCTTATTCTCAAGACGATATGCATGCCCTCGCATGAGGTCTCTGGACAGGAACTTTGTCCCCATGCCACTGTACAGAGCAGCATACAGCAGTAAAGGGTCATCCTGTGACCTGTTGTAAAGTTTATACACTTGTATACAATGCAGTGTACACACATTCCATTTATCTGATCATTGTGCTCTCATGAATGCAGGCTGATACAAAGTTAAGCTGCTTGCAAATGGGTTTTCTTCAAACACCCATGCAGTAAAATGGAGCTCACGTTATTATAAATATCTGCATCATATGAGAAGATGAATTTATTACTTTTTGCAATTTCTGACATAAATTTCCTACGATTAGGCTCCTACATGTCATTTGTTCTTTTTAATGTGGTAACTTATATTCTGAAGAGAACAAAATGAGTTTAAAAATTTGATTATAACTGTTTACATATGTCAGTATAGTTTCCACAATATGTTACAGACTTTTAATTATTTTCACTGAAATCAAAGTGCACCACTGATTATAGGACATACACAAAGGGAATGGAGTGTGCTGACCAGGAAGACAAAAAGTTGGCCAAAGAATGAGAAAACATGCATTTTCTATGTTTCTGGCCATAGCAGCTTTGAATTTTAGAGTTCTGCCATAAATTAACATTTAATTTACTGCAACAACCACATTTGTTTTCTTAACTTATTACATAATACTATGACATGTCAAACCATTGTTGGGCAACAGGGTGTGCAACGAGTTACCACAAAAACAGACTCTTCATAAATGGTCGGTTCCCAAGGTATGCAACAGTGGAATGANACAGGGAAAGCTTTACCTTTATGACAGCCTTACTGTGAAAAGATAAAAGTGGTGTCCCGATGTTTAGCACTACCACAACGTGGATGTACAAAGAGAAGAAAGGATTGACAGAAGACAGATGAGTGAAGCAGTGATTGTTGAAGACATCAACTCTGAATTCTTTTGTTTCAATGAACTGTAACAAAAGGTAAGAAAATTTGAAGTCCCTGATTCATCTCAAGTTCAGGAGGAATTTAATGGGACCGTTGGTTGGTGATGTTAGGAACTAAAGTGCCAGAAAGTGAGGGTCACCTTCTTGTAGTGATGATAAGAAATGCCTGAACCATGAGCAACATTACGTATATCAATTTGATCTGGGGGGGAAAAGAAAGACTGTGCTGTGTGTTGTGATAGGAAAGTGCACTGAACTGTGAGTCCTGCAGCTGCAAACCTGGACTTCATCCAGGGGAATGCTTCAAGAAATATCACACACCAAACGTGCATAGATACGATGAATGTTGGTAACACTTGCAGAAAAGTATGAAATAAGTTTCAAAATTTACTACCATCTTACAAGTTAGTAAGTAAACATTAGCAAAACATGTATAAATGTGTAGCTGTTTTTTCTGTACTTTTTGCCTTAAAATAATTTTTACTTGTACAGATGGACTGGAAAGGGTTAGGACAATCCATCTGGAATGTGTGATGTGAGAACATTAGCAGCAAATCCTATGACATTCTGCTAATTTTCTTGTGCCTCACCTGACTTAAGGAGGGGCTCGATTTACCTGATCTAAGACAAAGCCATGTAGTAGGGGCTTCAAATGACTGTGATGGGGATCCAACAAACTCCATTTCATAAGGAATATGCCATGATCCATCTCTGCTCACCTGAGCCATTGGATTGAATGTCAAAGGAAACTGAAACAAGAGGAAGTCCTAAAGGTTAGAAAACACAAAAATTCACTCACTGTTTTGGAATATGCTGATATAAAATATATTCTTTTCATATGATATTACTCTTTGAACATTGCATTCAAATGAACTGTATGCTGCAAATGATAATAGTGTGGTAGGTCAGTGCATGACCACTTGGAAATGGATGAAGGTTCTTCTATGTGTGCAATGACAACTCCATCTACGTAAACAGAATTCCATTATTAATTATTGTTAAAAAAAAGTAACACAGACTCTCTATATTTTACAAGAACTGCTGGAAGTGACTCCCACCTCCAAGCATGCTTTAGAATGTACAAACAAGTTCTGCAACACATTCTGATGTTCTGGAGCAAACAATTCAGTGTGAACTTCCAGAACACTACACCACTACTTTAAGACGGTGATATGGAAAATTTTGTAGCAGCCAGGTGCAAAAAGAGAATTCTTGCTGCATAATCTGATTGCTTAAGTTTATACACATGCTGTTTTGTACAAAGAAATATTTAGTCTTTGGCTGTGAACAAAGATCACAGCAAAAATCTGGTATCTTCTACTAAGTGTCTTAACAATTTGTGAGTACTTATCTCTTGCCATATCTGATAACTTTACACACTTACTTCTGTCTTTAATGCAACTTTGTTTATAATATCTCCTTAATTTAAAATAATATTAAAATTACAATTAAACTGCTGCATGTTTCGGCCTTACTTGGCCATCCTCAGGGAACTGTTCATTTGTTGATATTAGTTCTTAGGTTAAAACATTTCAGTGTTATTGCATTTTCGTCATCCACATCAAAAGACATTTGCTTCAGAACATCACTCTTTTCTTGTTTCTTGCTATCTTCTTCTTTCAGAATCATGCTTTTTATGTTGTTTTGATTAACCCTATGAATATAAGTGTTGTGTTACTGTTATTTTTATGTGCGCCATTAGTATTGTCACGTGTTTGGAATCTGGAAGGGTTACTTCCATGGTAATGCAAAAACAGTGAGCCGTTACGTAGAGAATGCCAAAACAACGAATGCGTTTCCCTGGAGATGGACAACAGAAGGTTCGTTGTGCAACAACAGAAATGGAACCGTGAGAAATGGTGTCTGGTATCCGGTCTACATAAGGCCTACAGAAGGAAGACAGTTGAGATCCAGCCATGGGCAGAGACAGTTGGAAGATAGCCGCCGCAGAATGCAATTGAAGTGATACTAATTGTACTTGAGAGTGCAAGAATAAATGTGTTCACTAAATCTGAGACCCACGGGAAGTTATTTGTTGCGTGACATACCCAACACGTGACAGTATGTATGTTCCCATGCAGTTGCTCTAACAGAGTTTGTGTCATTTTATTTATTTATTGGGACACTGAATCTACAATCCACATGAGTTTGTTGGAAATCCTTTTTGTGGGTATTTATGAATGAGGCTGTGAATGCCCTTTCTGTAACTTTTCATTTCATGACAGATTCAACTATAAGAACTTTGTGTTGCATCATATGTCTCATTCCAGGAGCAAAAGATAAAATGAACTGAGCAAGAAGAACCTTCACATGCTAATGCATGAATCACACTACGTTGCTGAATGTGAATGAGTGAGCCGCCATCGTATCTATCACGGACAAAATATATTGCAGTTCTGCTCACAGTGCAACTATGCCTATTTCTTGTTGGGTTATTTTATAACTCTCAGTATCTAGACTATATACTGAAAAATGATGTGATGATTCATGAGCTGGAAAGGTTTGAGAAGGAAGTGGTCATGTCCTAATTGAGGAATCATCCTGCAGAAACTGAGGAGAGAAATAATAAACTTCAGTCATGATAGCCATGTTCAGTAGTCAACAAATACAAATACTGTCAAAATATACATATCAGATGTTATGCTTAGAATGTAATCAATTTTGGTTCTGAAGGCAAAATCTCTTCCAATTACCTTGAGGTGCACTTTCCCAGCTTGAGTCACATATTTAAGCTGACACTGATGCTGTAGCTGCCATAGTTTAAATGTTGATCTAAGACTCTTATTCTCAAGACGATATGCATGCCCTCGCATGAGGTCTCTGGACAGGAACTTTGTCCCCATGCCACTGTACAGAGCAGCATACAGCAGTAAAGGGTCATCCTGTGACCTGTTGTAAAGTTTATACACTTGTATACAATGCAGTGTACACACATTCCATTTATCTGATCATTGTGCTCTCATGAATGCAGGCTGATACAAAGTTAAGCTGCTTGCAAATGGGTTTTCTTCAAACACCCATGCAGTAAAATGGAGCTCACGTTATTATAAATATCTGCATCATATGAGAAGATGAATTTATTACTTTTTGCAATTTCTGACATAAATTTCCTACGATTAGGCTCCTACATGTCATTTGTTCTTTTTAATGTGGTAACTTATATTCTGAAGAGAACAAAATGAGTTTAAAAATTTGATTATAACTGTTTACATATGTCAGTATAGTTTCCACAATATGTTACAGACTTTTAATTATTTTCACTGAAATCAAAGTGCACCACTGATTATAGGACATACACAAAGGGAATGGAGTGTGCTGACCAGGAAGACAAAAAGTTGGCCAAAGAATGAGAAAACATGCATTTTCTATGTTTCTGGCCATAGCAGCTTTGAATTTTAGAGTTCTGCCATAAATTAACATTTAATTTACTGCAACAACCACATTTGTTTTCTTAACTTATTACATAATACTGTGACATGTCAAACCATTGTTGGGCAACAGGGTGTGCAACGAGTTACCACAAAAACAGACTCTTCATAAATGGTCGGTTCCCAAGGTATGCAACAGTGGAATGAGGTTACGCAACAGTAAGGAAAGCGGTGTTTCTCCGTGCTGTGCTGTGCTGCGCTGAGCTGAGCCGAGCCGAACTGCGCAGGTTTATATGCAGCAGTAAACAACTCTCGGCAGCATTGCCAAACAACGCCTCTGTAAACACGGCATCATGCATCAGTGAAGCACGCTGTGTTTTCCACATTTCCGAGACAAGGTTATAAAACTCCAGCTTCAACAAGAGTTTGTGTTTGACCTTCAAAGAGATCAGTCAGTAGATGTCAGTCTTCAGTTTCGCTTCGACTATAGCAGAAGCAGTAACTGAGATACTGAAGTTGTGAATAAGTGTACGAGTGTGCGTACAAATAAACGTCCAATAAAAGAATTCGTTCCGATCCGAAGACCCATGCAATTTATTCACATCAAGTCACACAGCCGACACATTATAATATATTAATAGTGGTTTGACTTCCATGTTTCATTTAGTTGGAGTTTTACAATATTTCATTTGTATAAATTTCTGATGTAAGAAATTACCAAGAACACTGCAAGGATATCAGGTCACAAAGCAGCTCCTTCCAGCACTAAGGTTCGCTGTCAGGTGATTAAAGGTAAAGACAAAGCGGCAGATGCTTAATTAAGCATCATGTCTAAAGATTTATGTAAGACCAGAGATACAGCTGCAAACATTCTTTACTTCAACACTATATGGGGATAAGTGGCCTGCATCATGCACACTGAGGAGGTCAGATTCTATTTGAGCACAATGGTAAAGAAAAAATGTCCGTGTTTGCCAGGAATCAGACATCTGTCATGCAGCCCATTGCTTAGTCACTAAACTGACCAAGCTATCACAGCTTCTGGCACTCACTGGTTAGTCTAAACAGACTCAATTTGTATCCAGGTGCATAAGGCACATGAGCTGTTCACAAAACACTTTTGCATTTCCTTGCGAAGCATCAGTGCTTATTAGCTATGTCTGTTTGTTTGTTTTTTAAAGAAAATACTGGGACAGTTTGTACTTGGGGGGGACTGGTAAAGGAGAGTACCTACTTCAGTCAGTTCAGTGGAAACAGGAGTGGTGTTGGTACCAGTGGCATCCTAGTCGGGCTCATATAAGGGTAGCTCAAGGTTAACCTGGACTTCATTTCTTTCCTAAAGATGTGAGCTCCAGAAAACCAAAACCCTTCTATGGACAGTTGGTGGCAACATTACACTCACTGCCTGGCAGGTGGACATCCCCCTGCACATTACAGCTACTACACGATAGTGTCATATCATATCATTTCAGGTGCAAAACAGTAGTGTATGATCAAATTCCTAGTGAAAAGAGAAACTGAAAGCAACATAAATTACTTCTGTGTTAAATGTACAGTATGGGGAAGAGACCCTGTCACATGCAGGTGCCTGTGATCAGTAAAATAAGTCTCTTGAAGGCCATAATGAAGTCTTAAACCTCCCCCATGTTCACATTCAGCCAATAGCTGTATGCCATGTGAACATTCACCGCATAGAAGAGCAGATTTTGGGAAAAAGCAGGATCATAATGTGTGATATTGCATACAACAGTGCAGCAGATACTGCAAGTGCTGAAACAAATATCCACGAACACCTATTGTTCTAGCACGTATGCCCCGTGGGTCCCAAAGATGTTAATGTTGGAGCAGAAGGCACAACATTATGCTATGTCTTCAAAACATCTTCATCAGTTTGGATTGGAGGGAAACAAATCTGTAGGGCGAAAAGTGACCTGCAATGAGTAGTGGATGCATTCCTTCACAGCAGAGTCAAAGCAGTCCACCGTGGAATGGTCTTGCAAGAGATCACCACCACCACCAAAAAAATTCAAAATACAGCTGTCAGCTAGCATCATCATGACAAGTGTGTTTTGAGAATCAGAAGGGGTGATACTTGTGTTGATTTTCTTCAATATTGTGTAACAAGTAATACACTGTATTACAGTATGAAAATGTCAAAGATCATCTTACTGCAGGACAATTCCTGACAAAAAAAAACTCCACGCCTTGACTCTGCAAGCGAACTATGAGCACATATAGCAAATCTGATGAAGGAAACACTGGCAACAAAGGGCTGGGAAATCATGAACCACTATTCTTACAACCCTGACTTAGCCTCCAGTGACTTTCATTTGCTTGGACCAATGAAGGTGCACCCAGAGGACAGAAATTTCACACTGATAACAAACTCAAATGCAGTGTTCTGAACTGGGTACATTTTTTTCCCCCCCTTGGCACTACAGCCCCAGTGGGCCTAGGCCTACCTCCATGAACTCCGTTCACTTCGGTTTTTCTAGATCTTACACATATGGTAGGACTCCTTGGGCGAGTGATCAGCTCATCACAAGGCCTCTACCTGTAGACAAACACAGAAAAACGCACACACACATCCATGCCCTGAGTGGGATTGAAACCCGGCTTCCGAGCGAGCAAAGACAGTGCATGCGTTAGACCACTCAGCTACCATGACCGGCCGAACTGGGTACATAGTCAGGATAAAATCTTCTATATTGCTTGCATAATTAATATGCCAGGATAGTGCAAAGGGAGAATATAATGAAAACAAATCAGTTCAGCAACTCTGGCATGTGCATTTCTTTTGTAAAACAATGTATTCCAGATTTACCTTGATCCACCCTTGTACAACAATACTGTGTATACCTGTAATTTATTTACACAAATATACATCTGAAGAAGACTGGAACTAAACAGGATTTCTCAGAATGCCATAACCTAACAGTCAAGGTTGTGTGAGCTAAAGTGAAAGTTGAAGTGGGCAAGGAAAACAAAACAGAGACTAGATTGACAGAATGGCAGAGAATGTCTGAGGATCATGTGTAAAGCATGGCTGAGAATTACAAGAAATGAATTACTGGTGGAGGGGGGGGAAATAATTTTGGGGACACAGACCAATACAGAATGAACAGCAACTGACTTCTATTGTGACACAAGACTTTGAACTGTATAAACATGATATAGAAAGAATGATCTGTGTTTGTGTATTGTGTCAGAAATGTTTATAATCATTTCTGTAGCATTAATAAGCTGCATAATATCGTCTTTATCATGGTTTAAATACCTGTGCCGTTTCTGAGTATAACAAGTTTGGCAATGTCACAATGTACATCTCCATCTTTTTCTGCTGGGTGTAAGTTCCCCACTGCAGTCATCACAATGCTCTGACATAAACCAACTTTTGTCTCTTTTTATAATTCCTTTACCTCTGTTTCCCTTTGACTTTTTACTGGGAATTCTTATGATGTCTAACATGTCAGCTTTCTGTTATGCCAGCCCTTACCAACATCTGCTAAGCAATGAACTCCAAATTTCTGAATCGGGTGCAGTGAGCAAATATATTTCTGTGCCCTGGTAGTGAATGCAAGAGTCACAGATGCAGAATGTGCCTATCACAATTCAAAATAATGCTGCTACTTACAGATTATCAGCCAGGAATACATGTGCATTTCTATAGATGTAATCCATGTAGCATGGCGACCAGGTCTGCATGTGCTTCCTCCCCAGTATAAGGACTTTCTTTGATTTCATTACAAAATATTTTACAACATGATGTAACTGCAAAGAATTGGAATACTTGAAATTGTCTTACATGTATGTAATATTAAGACATACCACTAGTAGGGTTATGTATGCATATATTCATCAGCAGTACTTACGAGTATATACAGAACTTTGTCCAAAACTAACTCTTTCAGTCTCAGTATGTAAAGGCCTGATATATGAAAAATTCCATGCCTTGTATTATGAATAAATAAACATTAACACAACCCACTGTATCCTTATGTAACCTTCAGACATAAAACTTATTCTCCATCATCAGTGAAACCACTAAACATCATGGTACAGCGGTTAGCACTCATATTCAATATGTCTGATATTTGAATTTTGGAGGAGACATGTTATCCTGACTGTGAGTTCTTACAGCTTCGTTTATTCAGACAAATATTGTGACAGCACAAAATTAAGATGCAAGTTACCATCTAGGTGTATCCATTTACTTTTTATGTTGCTAATATGTTGCAAAAACACTGACACATATTGGTATTATAAAATCATTAGCAGCGGGAGATACCCCAATAAAATAAAGCTGAAAAAACCACAAATTTGAAACTAAATGATTAAAATATCTGCAACATGAAGTCCCCATAAAATTAAAATTGATACTGTTACGGTACAGTGACATAGGTCATAATTATTGCATTTGAGTTGGCTATAGTCTTTCGCACCATGTTTTGTGGTGCTGTCTCATACTTGCTTTCTACTGCTGTCTGTAGATATAACACAGTAATACTAAGTTCCAATTTCATTTTTTTTTACTTTACAATCAAATATACAGTTAAGTGTGACTTAAGTTATCAAAATATTTGCTGATAACATGTGACTTTGTTGATGTTCCTGGTATGTGAAGTACTGACCTGTTTAGGTACTGATGATGATGTGGTTGTGATTTTGTGTGTGCATGGGCAGGGGTGTATTTTGTTGCCATAAGAGTTAAAGTTGTGTCAAAGAGCTAGCTGGTTTTTACTTCAGATTTTTGTTCCCCACATGACTTGTTCATGTTTTCTGTATACATAAATATATACATTTACTTTATGTCCATTATTTAACCTTTTTTGATGGCAAAGACAAAAATAACACTGTCCAGTGTGACCATTTAAGTTTTATCATTTGAAAACTCATCACCCTTACATGTTTCGATCCCTACGGATCATCCTCAGAGGGCATCAACACTTTATCCAGAAACTACTATCACAATAGGTGTTAAATTATATACACACATATATAATGTCTGAAATACATAATGTACACAACGTTCAACTTTTCAGTCACAGCAGCCTTCCTTGTATTAAAGTTTTTTAAAAAAATTGTTGTTTAAGATTAAAATTTATTAACCATACAGGTTTGTGTCAATTCTCCTATTGTCTTTCTTGGAGGTGGCTGATCTTGTCCCGCCTGTCTATCTTGAGAAAGGAGATTCTCAGTATTGTCCGTGTTTATTCGTGGCTTGCTGTGTTGTTTATACTGTTGAACATTGTGTACATTGTGAATTTCAGACATTATATGCGTGTGTATATAACTGAATACCTATTGTAATAGTAGTTTCTGGAAAAAGAATTGATGCCCTCTGAGGATGATCCGTAGGGATCAAAACATGTAAGGGTGGTGAGTTTTCAAATGGTAAAACTTTAATGGTCACACTGGATGGTGTTGTTTCTGTCTTTGTAATTTTTAGTGTGACGGACCAGAATGAAACAAATCAAATTTTTTTGATGGGTTTATTTTTCACATAACTTCTATTCCTCTCCCTTGTTGGATGTTCTGAGTATGCATTGCACCCCCTGAATCATGTTCATTGTTACAATAAAGAAATTCTAAACAATATTCATACCCAAAAATTTAAAGATGCTTACTCTTCTTTTTTAATTTACCATTTCTTTCATTTAAGTGTAAACTCTCAGCAAAAGGAAGGAGCATTTTGGGTGTTTGAGAACAAGGTGCAGCACACACAGAGCAGATATGATTGAAGGGCATAGACCACTTCAGAGATGTAACTACTGATGCGAAGATACTATTAACATCGATCTTAAAAAAGAAAAAAAAAAAAGAAGGTGCAAGAATGTTTAATGTGTTCATCTGGGTAACTACTGTCACAGATCAAACTCAAAGTCTTATTATTAGATTATATTTAATTACTGCAATGAATTAATGATTGATTTCAGATTAATTAATTTTTGTTGTTGATTCACATAAGGAAAAAGCCCACAGCTGCTCAGTATAATCAACATGTGTTAGTTACTAAAAATAAGTTGCTTTTCTTAGAATTCTGATTTCTTTTCGCAACGGCAGAACCTTTGAAGTCTGTGTATGTAGGTGTTCGTAACACGTCTTTCACCAAGGTGTCATGAAATGAGGACGGCTAGTAACACCTGAGACCATGTGTTGAATTAATGAGTTATTTATGATGTCATTACAACTTAATGTCAAATATTACTAACACATTCAATTGAGTAGTAATTGTACATTTAGAGACCATCTTATTTTCCAAATTAAGCCAATCAGAGCAAGTGAGGGAGTCATTTGTCGTCCATAGAAGAACTCTGAATCCTTTGGGACATCAGAACACTTCAACCCTGCAATCACTGTTTTAAGTTCTTAAAGGGCATGGACACAAAACACTATGATTTAAGTTTTCAGAGAGTTGGGATGCAGTCTATAGTGTGTTTAAACTGTGAATATGACTTGTGTATTTATGCCAGTAGTGTCAATAATAAACTGTAACTGCATAGAATGAATGTGTCCTCATTGAAGGAATGGTTGGTGATCATAGGTTCCTTCTGCCTGCTTAGGCAAGGCCCAACAGGCATGAGACAAATCTCTTGCTAAATACTGTCTCAACTAGATCAAAGAAACCTGAAAATCAAAGAGAAGCATCAACAACAGTGACATCAGTAAGCCTACGAGTAGACACAAAGGTCAGCTATATAAAATTGATGACACCGCATGGTATAGAGGTTAGTTCTGAGAAGGTGACCAAAGACTGGCTGCAAAGGAACGGTTACGCTATAGGGTAAAGTGATCCAATTTTACAAACAAGGCAAAGAACCTTGANGGCTCCCGTCTAGAAAACCGAGATTAAGGGCCGTGGGGATTCATTGCGCTGACGACGCGACACCATCTATCTGCTAAAGTTGGTACTAACTTCGCCAGCAAGAGAGGGTCGCTCAGTCAGTTTGCGGACTAAAGTAACAGACTTTTCTTTTTTCTTTTTTTGAATTCCCTATATATACTGAGGCTGCAAAATGTTCAACAGCAGATTGACATACTGTAATGTTCTCCATTCGAGTTTATCAATGAGTAACTGGCCTACATATGTCATACAAATTCAGAATAAATCCACGCTAACATTGCTGGTATACTCACTGTTCTTGCAAGGGCCTGAGATGACAGTGCCTTCTTAGGTCCAGCTGTGAATGCAATATTTAATCCATCAATTACCATGTCATATGGAGCAGTCATTTTCACAAAATTCTTGAATTCTTTTATTTCTTCAGGTGTACTCTTGCGAAATATGTCTGCACCAACTACAACCTTGTCCATGAAAGCAGACTGTAATGCTCCAAATTCTTCCTTTGTTATAGTGATGGGATTTAAGTACTTTTGGCATGATTTACAGATGCCCCTGTAACAATTCAAAGTATTGTGTCATGTAGACCCATTGCTAGATGACGACCACAAAATCAGCAGCTATACAGCCGTTGCTAAGTAATGGCTATGCAAACAATGGCCCTTCTCAGGCGATGGCTGAGTGGAGATCACGTGGGCATCTGAACAGACATGGGCATCTGAACAGACATGACGCAACACAGAAACGGCGTTTTCCACATTGTTCATGTCAAGATGTTATAAGCAGGATGAGTCGAGTGTCCAGATAACCAGTTAGAGCAATGAGTTAATTATGGGAAAGTTGCCACACTCTGTAGTGGAGTGTGTGAATTATCGACAGCACTGTAGTTACTTGTAGTTATAATCTGTAAGTTTTTAAGAAATCCAATAATCTGACTCTGTTTAGAGTCAGTAAAATCACGTGACACTATATTACACCCTCATCTTAGAGCATGAAGCAAACTCCTTGGAAACTAACTCCATGGAGCTGAGTCCTTGAGAGGCTGCCAGCTGCTCAGCTGCTCAAGAATGTACTAAAATTTTATGTAACCCAAAAGTTCATTACCCTGGTAATGAGAGTCCTCCACTGATCCTATCCTGATTCAGATCAATCTAGTCAATACCAACCCATCATATTTCTCCCCATAATCTATTTTAATATTATCCTTCAATCTATGTGTAAGTCTTCCTAATGGTTTCTTTCCTTCTGGCTTTCCCACAAAAATCATATATGCATTTCTCTTCTTCCCATTCGTGCTACATTCCCTGCTCACCTCATCCTCCTTGACTTAATCATTCTATTTATTTGGCAGTGAGTACAAGTCATGAAGATCCTCATTATGCAATTTTCTTCAGCCTCCTGTCATTTCATCCCTCTTTGATTCAAATATTCTTCTCAACACCCTGTTCTCAAATACTTTCTACCTACATTCTTCCTTTCATGTCAGAGACCAAGTTTCACACCCATACAAAACTACAGGCAAGATTATAATTCTGTATATTTTAATTTTTACGTTTTTACCACATACATAAAAAAATGCTGTACTGAATGGTAGCAAGCATTACCTGAATTAATTCTTCCCTTATTTCCTCACGAATAAAATTTTATTTTTTTTACTGTTGTTCCAAAATATTTGAACTTTGCCACACTTTCAAAGGATCTATTAGCTGTCTTTATGTTATGATTCCACCATGCATTTTGGTGATGAGACATCAACATCTGCCTAGTATTCTCTATGTTTACTTCTAGGTTGACCTCCTTATTTGAGCCAATTAGAGCTTCTGTGTTTTTTTATGGTATTTATATTAACTCCCAATACATCCACATCATCAGCATAGACAAGAAAATGTTTTGATGACATGACCTTACAACACAGGAACTTATGAGGCCTACTTTGCTTTAAAGGTGCAAATCTATATGGTGAAATAAGCAAGCACTATAAATTAACAGTTGTGCTATTCATGAATATATTTATGTAAATAATATCAGCTAGCACAGACCGTAATTTGTCAATTTTAAATTCAACAGATACAGCTTCAACGTTTCACTATTTCTGTAAAATTTACCACATAAACAATCTGTAGGTGTGTTTGTGATCTATTTCCATACCAAATATTAATCATTCATTAGTTAGTGACATCAGACCAAGTACTGATTTCACACAGATATGATGCTGCTTTACATTCTACAAACAAATCAGATTAACAAACACTTCATATTTTTGAAGTTCTATTAGGATACAAAGGAATTTATGATAACAAGAAAAATAAAAGAAAGCATGCTGGAATAAGAAACAATTAATGATAGAATCTGCGAGTTAAGAACGAAAGGGAGATATAGAAATACTACAATATCAGTACATGCCCCAACGGAAGAAAAAGGAGAAATAGAGAAAGAAGAGTTCTATGAATGTTTAGAGAAAACCAATAATAAAATTCAGAAGTACGATTTAGTAATAATAATGGGAGACTTCAAAACAAAGATAGGGAAAGAAGAGTACAAAAGAAAGCGGCAGGAAAATACACAATACACGACATCAGTAATGAAAACGGTAACTTATTAGGACAGTTTGCTGCTAGAAATGGATTGCAGATAAAAAGCACAACATGTCCGCACAAAAACATACACATAGGAACATGGAAAATACCAGGATCAAATGAAGTTAACCAAAGAGACCATGTGCTGGTATCGTTAATACACTCTACCTCAGTCACAGACGTCAAGAGTAGCAGAGGGCCCGACTGTGATACAGACCAGTACTTAGTCAAAACTAAAGCAAGAGAAAGAATTGCTAGTATACAAAAGATGGAAGGAGTGAAGCCAAAGAAGTGGGATGTACAAAACTACAAGAAAACAAGGAAATAAAATAAGGATGTCAGAGAATTGAAAAGAAAATAAGAGAATATAAAGAAGAAGGAAACATAGAGGAAAACTGGAAGAGGATAGAAAAAGTAATAAAGGAAGTAGTACTTTTGTACCACATATTGCACAAATATTAACGCAATACCATGCTACTGCCACTAAGGTCTATTGTACATGTAGCTACCAATGTCTTATGACAACAAGAAAAAAGCAAGTGATTTCATACCCATCTGTCACTGATGAGAGCTGAGCTTGCACCTCTGTGTGAGGATCTGCAGCCTCCAGATACCACACCCTTATCCGTTCAGCTACATCCACTGTTGGTTTCAAGTCATGCTCAACAAACATGCTGAGGATCTCTTCCACCATTTTCCACCTCTCAACTTTCTCACCTGCCGACATTCTGTTGCAATAATCCAGCTGAGCATGAAACACTTCTGGTCTTATGCTCCTTCCCAGTTGTAACATTTCATTGATCAGGCGGAGACTTATATTTGGTTCATTGTTATCATAAGCAGTCTTAACCAAAACATTGTACTCCATGCCTCCAGGAATACATGTCAATTTAGCCATATCCAGAAGATCCAGCCCCACCTTCCAGTGTCTTGTTAAACACAGACCAAGAATTGCACTTTCTGCTGTGTATCCATCTAGCACAGGACATCTGGAGTGAAGATTTTCATACATAGAAAGTATGAACTGTTCGTCAATGCCTTTCAGTCTACATGAATAACACATCCTCATGACCTGTGCTATGGTTGCAATATTGAGTTTCTTGCCAGAAAGAGAGAGATGTTCTAGGTAAGACAACCCCATATCTAACTGCATGAATCTTCCACAAAGTCCTATTGTTATAGCATCTATATTAGAACCGTTTATGCCCCTATTTTTGGCAAGAACCTGATCCTTAATTTTTTCCCATTCAGAAGATGAGAGTTGTTTACCTTTTGTGATAACTGAAACAAGAATATCCTCATCCTGAGCAGTATTATCTTCATCACTATCACTATTTTTCTCATCTTGAGACTGAAGAACAGCACACGTATCATTCTTTGAAATGTCAGTAGAAAATGAATGTGTTGGGCCAGGAAATGTTGCTATTCTGAAGGCTGGACACAGATTCACACCACTCCATTTACATTCACGTGTACTTATATATACACTGGGTAATAAACACCGTAATGTTGCAAACGTCTGCAAACACTTCTGTAATGAAAATATACACTTCAGGGGTCCTGACATGATGAGCACGTACCATTTACTCTGAAACAGAAAAAAAAAGATATGAAACTAAGGTACAGTATACCATTTACAGCAGATATTAATGTAATATGTATGTATCCAGGATGGCTCAGCCGGTATACCGAATGGATACGGGCTGGAGAACCAAGAGGTCGGAGTTCGAGTACCGTTGGGGGCAAGAATTTTCATATTTCTATGTTGTCCATATCTACTCCGCGGTCCACCCAGCCTCCTATCCAATTGTTATCGCGGGCGCTTTGCCCAGGGGTAAAGCGGTCTGACCACTAACCTCCAACTAGTACCGAGGTCAAGAAAACGCTGGTCTATGCAGCCACTCCCCCATTGTCTTCTTAGCGTAGTACTTAATCGGTTAAGACAGGGGCTACTTTACTTTACTGATGTAATATGTGCAAGAATGAGATTTTTTTTTCGGTTACTCGATCTCAGAACAAAGGTTAAAAGTGCAATTACTATAATAAAAGCAGAATAAGAGCGTGTCATGCAATTTGAAGTACACCAACTTGATATACTGTTCAAACCAAAATTATCCACCACCAAAATAAACAATTATGCCAAACGATTGAGGGGCAATTTATTGTTTACATTCCCATAACCTCCACTACACGAAACTACCATACGAACTACATAAGTACATAACCTCTTCGTGTAAAAAATTCTACTACTTACTAGCTGCACACTCATACCACACACACTCAACAAGAGCCACCAAACTCGCTTCCGTTAAAATCGTGTATTATAAGCGTGCAACACATTCCCTATTGTGGCAACATTGATCTGTGTGCCTTAGACAGATGTAGTTCGGAAATATTCTGTTAGATGGAACAACATGCAACATGAGCAAGTGCAGCCATCACTAATTTATTCATTTGCGTTGGTACACCTTTCGTTACGCAGTAACGTGATATTCGGTGATATCTGTTGCCGTTCTAATGTGCCAACTATTTTTTCTTTTGCGTATAACGCACTTTGATACATTCCCATACTATTTTCGAAATCAGAGACAGATAAGAGGTTGCAGGAAAAGTGACAAAAAGTTATTTCATAATTTTGGAAGAAATGAGTTTTATATTCTGGCATATAAAGGCGTGTAGTCCGCTGCAAGTCAACCGACGTTTCGGAGGAACATGTCTCCTCCATCTTCATGGTTCTAAGGTAACCAAAATAGGTATCCAACATTAAGCAGGCAGCAGGCAAAAGGTTTTACTACCTGCTTCATGTAGATTTCTTGCTTTTCTTACTCTTCAATCCAGAAGATGAAGGCGACATGAAACATCCGTTAATTTTCAACGGCCCTACACGGTGTTATATCTCAGAAGAAAGAACTTTTCATAACCACAGCTGTGAGAAACTAAAATATTACAAAATATGCTTCTGTTTCAATTCTATGTAAAACAACGTACAAAAACGTAAAACGTAAAAAAACGCTTAACGTAAAGCTGCGAAGGGCTGCTGCCCAAAAGAAATCACCCAGTAACACATGTAGTTCAATTTGAAATAAAAGGGAACCCGATCATTTATTAGACTTTCAGACATTTTGGAAAAATTATTTGAAATTATGGTAGATCTAGAGATAATCACCAAGGCACTGTTACTTTTCGTAAAAGTAGGTATGATAGACGCTTTATTCCATAAAGTGGGTAAGCTCCCTTTTAACAAACTAATGTTAAAAATATGACTTAAAAGAAGAGTTAAAATCTCTGAACAGCCATTAAAATCTAAGCTGGGGATCTCATCTGGACCGACGCACTGAAGCGAACTGAGACATCGAATCTCATGCTTAACGACACAGTTGGAAATAAATAAGATGTTGAAGAAATCGGAGAATAACGTGAGTGCTGTTCGGAATATCGATAAAGAGGAAGAGTTAAAAATTCAACAAAAAGTTATCACCAATAAACTGTAGTTCTGTTATTATAAGGTCACAAATTCTGATTTAGGCGATGGGATGATCACTTGTTCCAAATTTGCAAACATTTTTCCAAGCGTTCTGTGGTTTCATCACTGAGTTAACCAAAAAAAATACTGGATGTTTTAATAGTAAGAAGTCTGCGATTAGAGAGAGAGAGAGAGAGAGAGAGAAACGGTACAATGGGAACAGATTTTGATTTTTCGTATCTTCTAGAATGATGATTTGTTCTTAATGCAACAAATTAAGTAACTCTAATAATAAGGCCGCGCCATAGCTCAAGCGGTTAGTCGCTGGCTTTCCACCGCGGCGGCCCGGGTTCGATCCCGGGTCTGGTCAAGTGGGATTTGTGGTGGACAAAGTGGCGCTGGTGCAGGTTTTCT